GACAGGAATGCAATTAACATTTCTAATAGGCTACGTTTAAAATCAGTTATAACGAAAATTATAATCATTGTGGTATTTTGCCAAAATATGGTTACCATGCTATTCGTGTAGTAAACTAGGCAATTAAATGATGCCGATTAATATTTTACAGCTTTCCAACAGCTATTTGTGAAGCACTTTTGCAATAATTATAGCGTATCAGCCAGACCATTTCTCATGTACGTACTACAAGTGAGAATCTGCTAATTGCACTTCAGTCAAACATCTGTGAAATTATTCAGACACATTTATTAAGCTGTGCTACCAATGACTGTTACAATTATATAATGTGATCATAGGCTACCTACTCCAAATGGTGTAATGAATTGCGCAAAATAGAGCAATACTACATTAATAATAAAAACGAATATTACCGACTAATACTATTTTTTTTTCTGTTTTACAACATGTTTTACATGTCAAACTTTTGTCAAAATGCAACCGGTGGGATTACAGTAGGCTACATGGCTTTAATAGGTTTCACGTCGAAATTAAGCGTGCCAGCTAGAGAGAGGCACGTTCAAGCACAAGTTCGACCACATTTGCGGTCAGAGAAGCGTTATTAGGTTTATGTTATGGCAATCAATCCCTAATAATCGACCTGAATTAGGCTAAACATGCTCAGCTGTTTTTCTTTCTTTGTTTTGTTTCATAATTTCATTTATGCAAGAATTGGGTGGCAGAAAATAAACAATCTAATCTAGAACTTTTCTATTTCTGCTGTGTAACAATAAAAGTGTGTGTGTGTGTGTAGATAGATATAGATTTGACTTTGAATTCTGATTGGATAAAATGGTTTGAAGCAGAGATTCACATCTCATCACATTATTCTGTCCAAACCATTTTTGGTTCTGAACAGGAAGTGAACTGCTTGTGTTATCATATACAGTATAGGACTTCATCAAAGTTTCATAGAGGAAAACGGCTCCATAGTTTGCTTGGGAAATGTCAATTCTCTATAGGTAAGTCTCTCTGTAAGGTAGCTGAAGCTCCATATAGAATATAAAAGACAAAATCAGAAGGGACTTCCGAGAACAGAAAAAAAATTCTACTCAAAACAGTTTTCCCATATTGAGACTGTGGTCTGGTTAATACTGCTGTACTTACACAGACGCTGTTTAGCATGTCTGAGCAGTATTATTGAAGGTGTGGTGTATTGCTCCGATGCAGGGACACATTCTTAAGCATTTAATGGATTGGTGATGAAACATGTTGTTCACGCTGCTTTATTGGTCTCTTTTGTTATGTTCCACAGTAGTCACTGCAGTCAAGGTCTCAATCCCACTATATCTAACACCTTTCATCAGCCAGACATTCTGCGAACCAGGCCACGGTCAGATTGAAAAGGGCAACGTAGGTTACTCAAATCCATGACATGAATTAGGATTTATATATATGTTTAAGATGCTTTAATTGCATTACACAGGCTCTTCTCAACAAAGAAAACACCTACAGTACGCAGACGTCAAAGCCAAGTGGAAAAGACAAATTGTGTAGCTGGATTCGTCATATGGCATATTGTGAAAGTAGTAGATGAGTTTCACACTTCCTTCAACACTTTAATACCACTTCCTGTATATTTAGAATAGTTTAGAGGTTGAAGGACACAGCCCACACACAAAATGTTTGTCACTCAGCTGCCATCTTGATAACATCCCCAGAAAACTATTTTCAGAAGTGCAGAAGTACAACTTCTTTCTGCTTGAACTGAGAAAAACCCAAATCCGTTTGACAAGTATTTACTGAAAGCCATCAAAAGTTACCTTCACTGATGAACTCAACTTTCCCATGACGTCCAATACGTACATCAGAATTTGTAGCTTATCAAGGTATTTTCTGGGTTGTATGAATACTGTAGTGGTATTTGGACACACTAATTATGCTATTTTGTTTGCTTCCCATAGAATCCATGGAATGTTATCTGGAGACCTCTGTTGATTACAAACTTACCTACACTTGTTGAATAAGACTCTGCGAACATGAGGTTAGAAAGATGAACATGTCTGAGGAGCAAATAAACTGCACTATAAGCCACGAGATTCACCAGTACCTGTTTTCGGGTGCGTACATCCTTGTCCTGCTAGTGGGTCTTCCCGCCAACGCTTACTCACTCTACCATGCCTGGCTCCAACTGAAAGCCCGCAATGAGCTGGGGGTCTACTTGCTAAACTTGACCATATCTGATCTGCTGTACCTGGCCTCCCTGCCCCTTTGGCTCCAGTATATCTTCCAAGGGGACAACTGGAGCGGCTCGGAGTGGCTCTGTCAACTGTGTGGTTTCCTGCTCTACGAGAACATCTACGTCAGCATTGGTTTTCTGTGTTGTATCTCCATTGACCGTTACCTGGCGGTGGTCTACCCTTTCCGCTTCTCGGCTTTCCGAACGGTACGAGCAGCAGCGCTGGTCAGTACGGTGGTCTGGCTCAAAGAGCTTGCCGTAGGAGTGGTGTTCTTCCGGCACAAGGAGCTCAGCAGGGACAAGCACAACCAATCTGTGTGCTTTGAGCACTATCCCATGAAGACATGGGAGTACCCAATAAACTACTACCGCTTTTACATAGGTTTCCTGTTCCCTTTAGGAATCCTCTCCGTGTCGTACTTTAGAGTTCTCCGAGCAGTGGGCAAGAGTGCAGGCACGCAGACATCCCAGAAAACTCGCATCAAGTACCTTGTGACCAGCACTATCGTCATCTTCCTGGTTTGTTTTTCACCATACCACGTCTTCCTGCTGGTACGCACCATATTGGAGCGGGACTGCGACTTCATTGAGAACATTTTCAACTACTACCATTTCTCTCTGTTGCTTACTAGTTTTAACTGCGTGGCCGATCCGGCGCTCTACTGTTTTATCAGTGAGAGTGCCCAAAAGGGCATCCAGAAGGCTCAGGAAGCTTGTACTCGGGTCTTATGCTGTTGCTCAAAAAGCCATGGAAGGTTCAACACGCACTCTACTGAGCTTGCAGTCACCAATGATAATGTTACAGGTACCTCAGTGGTAACACGCTTGCAGCAGGTCAAAACCGATGTTTAAACATTTTTGTTGTATTAGTTATCTATACAATGGACATCATACCGTTTAGCCACAGGCTCCTCAGATGTACTGCTGCTGCATACTGTTTTTAATTTTGCATGGGTTAGAACATTAACCTACTTTGTCAGAGTCAGTCCTGTATTTTGTTCTAAAATTAAACTGCAATATTTCATGGTTTTGGTAAGCTTGCAGTCACCAATGATAATGTTACAGGTACCTCAGTGGTAACACTCTTGCAGCAGGTCAAAACTGACGTTTAAACATTTTTGTTGTATTAGTTATCTATACAATGGACATCATACCGTTTAGCCACAGGCTCCTCAGATGTACTGCTGCTGCATACTGTTTTTCATTTTGCATGGGTTAGAACATTAACCTACTTTGTCAGAGTCAGTCCTGTATTTTGTTCTAAAATTAAACTGCAATATTTCATGGTTTTGGTAAGCTAACATGCTACTGTGATGTGGTGTAATTCTAAGGGATTGCTACCTTTATAATCACCAGTGGTTGACATTTGAGGTTTTAGGAACCGATGAGCTAAAGAAGTCCCTTTAGCTACAGTACATGTGCATGTAACAGTTAAAACTGTCCAAAACTAAAACCAATTCTGCTTTCAAACCTAATTGGTTATAGTTCCTTTAATACTGTACTTCACCCAAAAATCACAATTCCATCATCATTTACTCACTATAATGGTTACGGC